TTTTAAAGAAGAAAGAGGAAACGACATATGTTAAAAAAGAATTGCAAAAGGAGGGTCACTATGAGAAAGCAGCTAATGGGAGAAGTAGGTAGGAAAGGCAAAAGGAACATATTCCTTTTGCATTTACTGATCTTTGTTTCTCTACTTAGTCCATAAAATATGCTCACTGGTAGACCCTTTGCACTAGTGGAATGAGATCAATCTTCTTTAACATAAAACAGAAGTGCATTTAGTATTTTAAATGGTAATTGATTTTGAGATCATTTGGGAAAAATGAACTAAATTTCATTAAAGGAGATAATATCTTTAACCAAGAGCCCACAGAAACGAGGGACTGACATGGGCAGCAAGTATGCACACCACAGATAACAAGTACCCTTGTAGGAGGAAAATTGATTTTCTGCTTCTCTGAAGCCTAGCAAATGGTTTTCTACCACATACTTTGTTCCCAAATCACTCCTAAACCAACTACCATGTTTGGCAGATTTACCTTTTTTCTTTTTTTTAAAGAAAAAAAAAGAAAAAAAAAACAAACAAAACCAAACCATAAATCAGACATCTTTCAAACCTAGTATCATCAGGGCTCTAAAAGCAGAGCAGCTGGTAGATACTTTGCTAGGAAGTCTCCCTTCATCCCCTTCATAACAGAAGCAGTTTCTAAAGATATTGTCAAGCGTAATGTGATGATTAGAAATGATTGACTGTCTTTCTGCCTTCATACAATTTACTCACTCCTGATTTATTACTTATGCAACCTTCTATGTATAATAAGGGTAGACAGATCCAGTAGATGATTGACAAAACATCATTTCTTTCCTATTTGCTGAGCTAGCCTTTTTGTAAGAACTATGCCACTAATATATAGCTGAAGCATGCTGGCATAAGTTCCTGCTTGTCTCTTCGTGTGCTGTGTAGGTGCTTGCTATATTTAAAGCAGATTACTGTCTATAGGAAAAATAACTTATTTGGATCCAGTAGAAATGCACTGAGGTATACAGCACACTTGTCAGAGAGATTAATGTAGACCTCAGTAATAAGATTCACCTTAACTCTAGGGTTAAGCTTTAGCTCACCCTCACTGTAGACAGACTAAGAAAGCTGCAACAGCAGAAGGCACCCACATTTCCCTGTGCCAAGGCCAGCATACGCTAAAAGAAGCACACGGCCCAGACAAAACCAATTAGTCCCTTGGGTAACCCCATTAGCTATCTCTGCCAAGGTTTAGGCAATGTCTCTAAGCTGCTGTCAAGACTGCTTAGCTAGGTAAAACTAAGGAGAAGAGACAGTGACAAACATACTTGCCTACCCAAGTCAACCTCATATGAGTGGGACAGGGGCCCAAGCAGATACCAACTGGTGAACCCCAGAGGAACTGGGGATGCCCAGGCCACCATGCTGCCAGTACTCTATACCAGTTGGTAATACATCCAGGAATTTCACCCCAAAACTAATATTAAATATGCATACATACATATCACCTCTCACTTTGCAAAAGACAAAATCATTCTCAGTCTTACCTGCAACACTATGTTCTGATTTAATTTATTATTCATAAACCACTGAAAAAGGTAGAGCTAGGGCAAGACAAAAGCACCTTTCCTTCAGGCAACCACTACTAGGAGAGCTTCTTACTCAGGCAGGCAGAATTTAAACCTTCCCTCACAAAAAAAAACCTTCTCACAGAAATCAGCTGCACAGCTGCCACAGTCACAAAGGTGTTAACCCCCCCTCTAGCACAGCTGATTCATGCAAGCACAAATTCACCTTCATCTCCTTCTCCCATCAGTGAAAGGTAACTGTATTTGAATCAGTCATTATTTCCCAGGTATGAACTGAGGCACCCATAGCATAATTTCATCATTTGGGTTTAACCCAAAACACATATCAAGCTGCCTGATTAAGCAGTCCCAAAAGTTGCTAAGCCAGTCTTGGATCCAAAGTCATTTTCTCAGCAAGATATATTTAAATTGAAGATGCTAAATGGGATTAAAGCAAGTAAAACACAGCCAAATACACTTTGTAGGTGCTCCATACCTCTTAAAGAAATTTGATTCCTGTAAGCGTGTAGGGACACCAACTTGCTGTGCTTTAACAGTAATTTGAGCTGACAACAGAGAATGAAGTTTCTTTAGTTGTTTACTCCCTGTGACATGAACAGGCTTAGCTAATGTAAAGTTAAAAATTAGGAAAGCTGCAAATTCCCCTCAGTAGAAGTTATTAAAATGAAATAGTCTTTAAATAACAACAATGCCTTGTTGCTTGGAGAATTTAAAACTAGTCAAACCACCAAAGTCAGTATTTAGCAATCTTCTACTGGCAGGAAATCGATCTAGAAGAGAAAGAGACTCTTTCTGGCTACAGTGACTGAGTATTTATTCCATTTGTATTAACCCAATTCAGTTGTATTGAAGCAGTGACAAGCATACCATTTTGTGATACTGAAAACAAATGGTAAAACACAGAGATGTTCAGGTCATGTGTTGATTATGCATGTTTTCATGTGCTGTCACCTGCAGTAGTATAAACTGCTGCAGGCCAGCCTGTCCTCAGCTGCACCTATGCAAATCCTGCTGAAAACGAACAGATTTGGACAAGTTTATCCAAAGATGTAGTTTAAGAAAGAAATAAATGGGGGCATAATTTAGCCTGTGGTGCTCTTACTAACAGCAGTAGGGTTGAAAAACCTTGACTTTCAGATCTTAGGTGATGTTTACAGGGCTAACAGGGCTCAGGGAAAGTTTTGTATACATAATCAGAGCACACCTGATAAAACTCCATGACAAAATAAAAAGCCTTATTGAGTCATTGACACCTTTACATATATAGCATAAGTAGGTTTTAATAGACATGGTGGATTTTTTTTCTCATGAGACCTAATTCGAGAAGGCAAAACTACAGTCTTATGCAGTCAACTCCTGTACATGATGACATACCGTACTCATCTCTTTCTAGAAACTAGTTTTATTCAGATCATGAGTATTAAAAACCTGAAAACTGTTCATGCCACAAAAATAGAAATCAGATATCTCATTAAAAAGTCTTAAAATTAACTAATCTTAATGATGATGCCACTAAATTAAAAGTAAGGTTCTTCATGGTGAAACAGTCCATGCACTACTTGTGAACTGTAGCCATGCCACAAAAAAAATACAACAAAAAGATGGTAACGAAGAATATTATGTAATCGATCATTGAGGAAGCCATGGCATTTCTGGCGGATTACTGTTACTAGGGACAAACATTACACTTAGTTTAAGGTAAATCAATATAGGGCTAATCAGAAAACCATTGGCTCGTACTGATTTGGTGCTGAGAGCTGAGGTTAAGAACACCGTAGTGCTTAATCTACGAGCACTTGAACTGGGTAGCATGAACATTTCCAGAGAATTTTGTAAAGAAACTAGTCATAAATTGGCCTTTACACCAAAGTATAGTAACTACTCTAGTTTTATTTCAGATTTAAAATGAACGAAAATCAAGGAGAAGAAAAAAACAAAAAAAAACCACCACCCCCCCCAAAAAAAAACACACACCATAAAACCCAACCAACAAAAACCCCCAACCAACAGCTAACCAAACAGAATTTCTCCAGCTGATCTAACCCACCACTTGTATCTGCCACTGGCAAATCAACAGAGATTATGAACTCCAAAAGAGGTGGTGATGAGCAGCTAGAGACAGTAATCTCTCGGATCTGAAAGAGGATATAAACCACAGTCTCACCCTCTCATTTTTGCTTATTGCTCTGAGAGCACAGTGGCTACAGAGCAAGTTTTTCAATCCTGTCCTGGCTTGTGAAGTAGCATTTAGTCAATTCTCTCTTTGGAAATGTGCCTAGAAACTGTGTGCATGTGAACTGCCTCAGGGAGATGAGTAGGTCTTTGCCAAGGTATCTCTAAAGAAAGCCAGGCTGTCTGTTCTGTCTCTTACACATGAAACTGACAGTACCTCTTACAGTTAGCATATTCAAAGGCTTCCATGATAAGACCTATTTTTAGTTGTTTATAACTTTGCCAGTGTTGACCATTCCTAGGATTTTCCAGTGCTTGCCTCAAGCTGAAAGACTTTGGAAAGCATCAGCTTAAAGAGATGAGCCAATTTCAGGAAAGATGCAAGCAAATAATACTTTACCATCAAAAAGAAAAAAAAAAATAGAACTTTTAACACCTTCAAACTAAAGAGCAAGAAATTGAAATCTGGCAGAGGGAAAGCATCATTGCAGTGTCATGGTGTAAAAATTCTCCCAAATTTGGTTAAGCTATGAGCTTCCGAAGTTTCAGTTCCCACGTGAACAGTTGAGGCTTTTGGTACAGCCTGACAGTAAAGTGCATTGAATATGCAATTTCTAGCCTGAACTAAAGATACATTTTTTCTGTAATTGCACAATTGCCATGAGTAATTTAACACCATGCTCGAGAAACAAGAAGAAAAATTTCTTCCTCCCATGTTTCTGTAGCTTTGGCACTGAAGAAAATAGCTGTGTAATTCAGAAGAAAAGAGCTGGGAAGAACTGGGCAAGACAGAAAGTTAAAAAGACTTGCCAGTGACAGAGAGAATACAAAAAGAAAAAAATACTGATGAAAATAGAGAATAGAATAGAACATAATTTAGAAGGGAAGAAATGAAAACAAGCCAGGGAGGAGAGAATGGACTGAAGACAGGATAGGTAGAAACACAGCAACAGGCTAGGGCAGGAAATGTAGTGACAAGGTCACATGGGGACAGTTCAGGAAATTGTCATCAGAACAGATGATATCTTAGGCAGACATGTGCTGGCATATGCAAATCATTGGACCTTTGTTATTTATGTAAGGATCTGTGATGCTTTGCATTCTTTCTTTTCTGGCACAGTTTCAGGATTTGTGTCCAATCCAATTTGTCTAAAGCCTTTCATTGTGTTCAGTCTCACCTGAAAAAGACCTGTAGTAAGGAAGAGATCAATAGCTCAGCAGCATCTCCTTTCAATTGATTACCCACAATCATAAAAGGTATTTTGTGGGTTTTTAAGGATTATAAAAGCTGGCAGCCTCTTGGCAGATATTTATTCCCAGTAAGGGGCATTAAATTGTGTAATAGCAATCTTTTGCTCTGTTGTTCTCAGCAGGCTCCGGTTTCTCCCTTCTCATATAGATGTAATTCATTGTCTATTGGTGAATATTGGCATGACTTGGTAGACTTGAGCATAGTTGTTCAGTATTAAATGAAACAAAAATACATTCTATAATTTACAGGTTTCAAAAATTTGAAGTGGCTGACCCAGGTACACAGCAACCTAAGAAGGGCTCTTTTCTGTTTTCTGCCAGAATGTGCAGGAAGGGAAGCCTTTCCACCACTATACTGAAAACCTTAAGCTTCTAATCAGAAATCAGAGGCAAGGCCATGAAATGTAGGAGAATTTATTAACTCCTGAGTTATATGTAGAAAGTGATTATTTTGCATAGCATGATGGAGGAATGGAAGGGTAAAATTTGCCAGTTGCAGTTATCAAGGCAATGCAGATTTCACCAGAACCATAATATAATTAAGCTTTCTCTGATCAAAGCAAGTTGTGCTTTTGCTTTTGAAGTCGTCCTGAGAAGCATAGTCAGCATTCTGCTACTGTAAAACTGAAGCCCTCAACCTTTGAAGTTATTAAAGACTTTAGAGCATTTTTTTACAATGAAGAAATCAAAGTTTAGCTAACTCTCTAAGTACATTAAACTTGAAGTAACCATTTCCTCTAAAATATTAACTATTTCACTTCCTGTTCTAAAGTATTTCCTGATGTTACTTACTTCATCTTACTTAATTACTTACAGCTAAGCAATAACTGCGCTGCATTGAAGCTTTTAGTGGCTCTTGTCAACATAATTCAGTCCACAAAGAGAAGAGCATTTTGGGAGGTACAAATTTCCACCCTCTGGCTGACTGCAGAATTAGATAATACACGTGATTATTTTATTTCAGAGACATCCAGGTCTACCCTACCCTTAAGGAAAGGATGCCTGAGATATTAGGTAGGTCATTTCTGCTACAAAGTCTAAAGATAACTGCAGTGCAGCTACAAGCAGCAATACTGTCAGCCACAGCTAAACATAAATATTATGATTGTTCTTGTGCCCTAGGTAGGAAAGCAGTATATTAGAGTATATTCTCTGGCCGGGGCCAAATAAGAGACTGCGAAGATTACTGTTCTTTAATTACAAGTCCATCTCCATAGTTTGCAAGATAACTTTCCATAAAATCAGCTTTTCCCCATTTCCTCATTGGTAATGGATACAGTAAAGACAAAAGGCCTTTTCATTTCTGTTGCTTGATTATGGATGAAAATCAAATACATCTCAGATTAAATTACAGATTTAAACTCCATGGGAGTAAAACTTTAGGATTTTCCCAGCCAAAATACTCTTGGAACTATGGATAACTTTCACCACTTTGCCATCCTCAAGTGGAAAAGCCCACAGAGGTTACCTGTAGTCCCTTCTGGCAACCTCCACAGCTATTTCTGCACACTCTGCACTGTCTTCTTTGATGTTAATAAAGACTTGATTGTTTACTTTTCCCTCATACCTACCTTGTAATTTTTTAGCCAGTTCTTAATCCAAGCCATTTACTGTGCTTCCAGCAGCCATCATTCAACAGCTGTTCACCTGCAAAGAAATGATCAAGATTTCAGCAGCGTTCTTTAAAATTCATTGAAGATTTTGCATGTGAGAAACAGAAGGTTTATGTAAGGCTTTAAACCTATTTTTAATGAACTTGGCCAGGTAGCTGTTTATACTGACAACAGTAAAACATACTATACACATTTGACAGCATGGGACAAGAGCTGGTTGCTTTTTTACAGCTAACAGTCACTGCATATTCTGTTCCACATTTACTGGCTGTGGTTTTCTCTCATTTTCCCTTCCTCAAAGTAAAGAAAAAAAGATAAAAGAGAAATCAGCATAAAAGCAGCTCTGCTCCTTACCTTGAGGTCTGATGGCTAGCCTTCCCTAATGGAGGTGATTTGTATTCACTTTCCCTGTACATATGCTCTGTTTAGACACAATTATTGCTGATGAATCCTAACAGGTAACATCAAGACTCTATACAGAATTCAACCCCTTTAACTAGCCTTTCAAATAGACACAATGCCATTCGTGGGTAGCCAGGTTGCAGTGCTGTTGCTACTGCTTGCTTATTTTTAAGATTATATTATTTGAGATGGGGGCAAGAGCACCTCCGTTTCATTGATCACCTTTTCCAGTGAATGACTGAGTAAAATAAAATGGGTGTATATGACTTCATACCTTCTCCATATGCCTGACACTGTATGTGTGCATCATCCTTGTAAGCTATGCTACACTAATTATGCTAGGTTTACTAGGTACACACAGGTATGCCTTGTTACTGAAAAATCAAGCTTCTATTGTAAAACAGTTTCTCCTGGGAATAAAGTAATTTCAGAGAGCTTAAATACAAACTGTGCTGACTAATAACAGCATTCTTGATATACAAAGCATTTTAATGCTATAGAGTCTTTAAGGTTGCTTGAGTCATTAATTAGACTGTAGTAAATGCCACACACTGCCTGGAAGCAAAGATCTTTTAGTTGCATAGGTCCACAATGGAAAATAAAGACAATTAAACTGCATCTCATAAATTGTAGGTTGAAGACAGTATACAAAAGTCCTAGAATTTGCCTTCAAATGACTGCCAAAAAGAAGCTGCATTTGTCTTGGACATCTGTCAGCTTTGGTTCCTCATTCCATAGCTTCAAACATTAAATTGCTTTTACACTGACTCACTATTTAGCTTTAAACTTCATACCCAGGAATCTTCTGGGGGCTATCTGATCACACAGAGTTTTCACAAATGGTAGCATTGTATTACACACTGGCTTCACAGATTCCAGATTTTCAGTTCTCAGCCAATGAAGCACTTCTAGAAACCTCCAGATGTTACCCCAGATGTACAAGTAATATTATTTTTTTCTCCGTTGCTTCTTGAAGTTGATACAGATTTTTCCCAGGACCTTTTTGAGACAAGTTATTGGATTTAAATAACTTCTTAAGCTGAACTGATTTTGTTTACCATCAGTATCATGAGTTAAACCTATAGTGAAGAAAAACAATTTATTCTGCTTCATTTATCAAAAGCTAGCAAGTTTTCTATTTTATCATGCTTCTGATATCTTCCTTGTTACTATGTTTTTGCAGTCTTTTCCCAAAACCTTTTAAACATTTTGTTTATCTTAAAACATAATTCATTAGCACAATAATTGTATTTAACAAAACAGAACAATTTCCAGTTTGAATTATTTATAAATCATATTACTTTAAAGCCATATATTCTGGAATATATTCCAGACCACTCACAGCTGCAACAGGGGTCCTAGTTTGACTGAAGTTTGCATATTGCAGTTACTGATATTCTGAAAGATATTCTAGAATGAGAAGTTGCTTTTTCAGGGCAGCATTTGCAAAGGCATCTTAATGACTAAATATCCTTTTTCAAATCAAATGGGCACTTACCTAGGAGCATGATTTTGAGTGTACAGCCAGCTTTTGATGCACAGACCTGTAGCTCTTTTGATCACACAGGAAAACATTGAATGATTTTGAAAAGTCCAGTAGATTCTTCAGCTAATCTTTAATCATCTAAATGCATTCAAAACCTGGCTTAAAGCCATAACCAATAGTGAGACTTGGTTTATAAGCTTCTTTGATTCTTGCTCTAACTTCTGAATATTTTACCTACTACCTACTTTATGATATGGTAGAGTAAAACAATACAACACCTTTCATGCGACATACTTATGATTATATGGAACAATATGAAAGCCAGCTTAAGTCAGTGTAAGGCATTTCATGGACTTCAACAGGTTTTGGATCTTGCCACAACTGGTAAGAAACTTTGTTGATTACTTTTAAGAGAGGTACTTTTCATCTATTTAATTATTTCTGACAATAGCCTTTAAAAGGATTTATTTTTTACACAATGCACAGATAAATTATACTGATAAATCATAACATGACACCATTATTCCCTAGGAAAATGGTCATGCTTTTGTTTTGTTTTCTAGATGTTTAATGCAACTAATCCTCCATTTTCCCTGAAAAGAGAAACCTATATGTATAATAGTTTCCAGCAAAGATCAAAAGAGAATTTAATTTCATGGCTTATCAATAAGAAAATCTTTCATTTTCCCAACTATGTTTATATTCATAGGTTGGAAACTGAGATAAACTCCCACAAAAGAATAAAAAGGCATTAATTCTCCTGTGAAGGCTGTAGTCTGCATGCACTTAGAAGGAAAGCAGCTCCTGCCAGACTGCTTGCTCCCTGACGAGATGGTGGGCAGAAAATGAGGACAGTTTTAGTGCTACTTCTTCTGCACCAATGCACCAGTTAGCACAGAGAATTCCTCCACCAAAGGGGGAACAGGACTGAAGTGCGACTTCCGGGTTTGAGACAGCCAGAAAGGTGCTACTCCAGCCCCAGTGCTCTCATGCAAACAACATCACAGCTGCTCTGAAAAACAAGAATAATCTTTACCTTATGCAATATATAGGGATTTGATGATAAAAGCACAGAAATTATCAGTCTTACAAGGTGTAGCAGTTCTAGCAGATATAATTTGCCATTAGTCCAGGAGGTGATGGGAATCCTAACCTTACAGGATCATATCTTCAAATAATTCAGCCATCTGATCAAGCATGCCATGAATATCAACCTACTAAAAACAATCATAGAATCATAGAACAGTTAGGGTTGGAAAGGACCTTAAGATCATCAAGTTCCACCCCCCCTGCCATGGGCAGGGACACCTTATGCTAAATCATCTCACCCAAGGCCTCGTCCAACCTGGCCTTGAACACTGCCAGGGATGGAGCATTCACAACCTCCCTGGGCAACCTATTCCAGTGCCTCACCACCCTAACAGGAAAGAATTTCCTTCTTATATCCAGTCTAAACTTCCCCTGTTTAAGTTTTAACCTGTTACGCCTTGTCCTGTCACTACAGTCCCTAATGAAGAGTCCATCCCCAGCATCCCTATAGGCCCCCTTCAGATACTGGAAGGCTGCTATGAGGTCTCCACGCAGCCTTCTCTTCTCCAGCCTGAACAGCCACAACTTCCTCAGCCTGTCTTCATATGGGAGGTGCTCCAGTCCCCTGATCATCCTCCTGGCCCTCCTCTGGACTTGTTCCAACAGTTCCATTTCCTTTTTATGTTGAGGACACCAGAACTGCACACAATACTCCAGGTGAAGTCTCACAAGAGCAGAGTAGAGGGACAGGATCACCTCTTTCAACCTGCTGGTCATGCTCCTTTTGATGCAGCCCAGGATACGATTGTCTTTCTGGGCTGCAAGCGCACACAGCCTATCATTTATGTTTGACGACAGTATGTGATATAAGTGAGGCATATATATTAAGATGTCCTCAACCTGAATTCATTAACAGATTCAGAGCATAATCAATTACTAGCCAAGGTTATGTCTCCAAGATTGACTAAGTATGATTGGCAGGACTGCTCTGATTAAGTAAATGTCCAACCTAAAAGGAGTTGTGAGAAATAAGGAACGTGCAGAATCCCAGAGAGAATGACGCACATTTATCTTGTCTATACTTGCAGAACCATCAGCCTGGAGTAAGAAAATACATATGACTACAGTTTTCTAATGAAAACTGCATTACATGAGAATGAGATTTAATATGGTGATAAGGATTCTTATGTATTCATTTTGGCTAACTGGGAAAAGTCAATCAGAGAAGTAGAACTGTTTTGCAGTCATTTTATAGCATAAAAGGCAAGTACTGGGATAGGATGATCTTTGATTGGCAACACTGCAAATAAAGTAAACACCTTTTCAATTGTAAGCACGTGATTAATCCCAAACCTTTTCACTGGAACAGCTGGGGCTGTGCTTATGACTTTAGTGCAACTCACGGTTCATTACTCAGACAAGCAAAGATAGCCTCAACAGCCTGTTTCAAGGAAAGAAATTTGCAAGAATGCCACTTTGATTTCCAGTCCACTTCCATCCTAAAGAAAATATCTGATGTGAAAGCACATTGCTTTCACCTACAAGAGGCAAAAGAAATGTGTTCACATCTCCTAGCCTGCAGGCTTGTGCCATGCCACCACGAGTAAGTAGTATCTATAAAACTTTTCCAATGACATGTGGAGGATGAATTCCATGTTCTCCAAAACACCAAATCATAGTAGAGAAAAACAAAATACATTTACACTTGAACTCCCCACAGGGTGTTTTATTGGAAGACCAAGGCTTGGCTGCAGTAGAATCCTGTGCCTAAAATCTAGAAAAGGAATGTGGGATTTCTTCCCTCTGGGGTTAGTCTTGTTTATTTCACAAGGCTGACATCTCAAAAAAGTGACTTATGCTCCAAAGCCATGTATGAGTAATTTATATAATTTAGTATAATTTTAAAAACAGATCACTGAAATTCTGACTCAGTGAAATCCTGGATTATGGGCTTGAATGCCACTGTGGATAGATGTCTTTTCCTAAAACTAAGTTGGGCACATGAGCAGGCAGTGGCATGAAGAAGCTACTTTTATCAAATCCACTTATTCATTTGGCAGGCCCGTTTTGTCCAAGTGCGAAAATCAAAGGAAAGGAGGAAAGGCGCAGATACAGAATACTGGTGCTGTGTCCCAGAAGGCAGATTAAATTATGAGGTAAGAGTTATAAAGGAGCTCCCAGTACTTAATATTTTAACTAAAAGTCTAGAAGAAAGCCAGAAAAGTTGTGCTGACAATCATTTTCTAACAATACTTTTCTAAATTTCTTATTCTACACTTATGTGTCAATGTAACAGTATTGCCTGTCTTGTCAAAGCTCAGAAGGAAAGGCATAGAAAAGGAAAAGCTGAAGGGACAACAGTGAAAGAGTAAGCATGAGTAAGAGAAATGCAACTTGACAGGCAAGTTTCAGGCTTTTCTTTTATCTTTTGTTTTATATTTTATTTTCTATTATTTTTTATTTTATTATTTCTTTCTCCTAAATATAACTGCAATTTCCTAGGGTACAGCAGCGCTCAGATTTTAACCCACTAGTGTTTACCGTATAGGCATCATTGTCACTCAGTTTTCATTCTGGTTTCATTAATCCTTACAAAAACTCCATGTTAGTCTTCTCACCCCTCACTTCAGGTTTCTGGTTATTTTCATCAAAACTGGCAGCCTTTCACAACTGGTGGATTCTGATGAATGTAAG